AAACAGATCTTCTGAACTTGAGGAAAAAGCCGTTAATGACCTTTCAGAGTGAAGGCAGTCAGCAAGAGGAAGGCGAGTAATTCCAGAGGCAAACCCATCGGCTACATCTCAAGAGGATCCCACCTGTCTGTCTTACGCTTTTTTTATGGGCCAGATCAGGAGTGAAATGCTACCAGAACCAGAAGCACTCTTTGGCCAACATAAAACTGAGGCAGAGAAAACCAAGCAAGTCACAGGTACCACTGGGATTATAGCAGGAAAGACAGGGGAGTTTTTTTAGAAACGGAATGGACATAGAGAAAATTAGGACTGGAAGAGGCATAGGAAGGTATCCAGTCTAATGTCCCCCATTGTACCTGGGAAAGGGCGGCCTAGAGAAGGGAAGTGAGGAATATAAGACAACACGGGCGAGGAGGTGGGGCTGGGTCCTTCACTCCATGCTCAGTGCGATCCATTGCTGGAAAAACAGATACAAGCCAACGGGTAAGACATGGATCAGCCTTCCACACTGAGCTTTAAGATCCGAGCTTTAAAGCAGGGGTCCCTAACCTCTGGGCCATGGACCATGCAGGGGTCCCCAAGTCTCAGGCCATGGACTGGTCCTGGTCCATGTTAGGAACCAGGCCACAGAGCAGGAGGTGAGAGTCTGTCTGTGTCTAAATTTCCTTTTCTTGCAAGGATACCAGTCAGATTGGATTAGGGCCCCTCCCCAAAGACCTCGTTTTCATGGAATCACCTCTTTAAAGGTCCTACCTTCAAATACAATCACATTCTGAGGTGCTAAGGGTAACAGGCTTTTTGAGGGGACACAACTCAGCTCATAACAATCCCTTAAATTAAATAACTGGTGGTGTATGGAAGTGGAAAAAAAAAGATTCCATTCTTGTAGAGCTTACTATCATGAGCAAGGAGATAGGTTATCAAGAGTAAGTATGCGATATGTCAGATAGTGATGGGTGCTATGAAGAACGGTGTTTAGTTGCCAAGTCGGATCCGACTCTTTGCAACCCCAGGGAATGTAGCCCACCAGGCTCCTCTGTCCCTGGGATTCTCCAGGCAAGAACACTGGAGAGGGTTGCCATTTCCTTCTCCAGGGGATCTTCCCCACCCAGGGATCGAACTCGCATCTCCTCTGTCTCCTGTACAGGTGGGTTCTTTACCACTAGCGCCGCCTGGGGATACATAACACAGGCTAAAAGGGATTGTTAACACAGGCAAGGGAAGCGCTTGCTGTTTTTTAGCAAGACATCCAGGGAAAGCATCTCTGATATAGTAAAATTTACATAGTGACCTGAAGGCAGTTAGGAAATGAGCCAGATTTATATCCAGATAGGGAAAAAACAGGACGAAGTCTTAGACTAGTGTCACACGTTCTATGTCATAAAAACGTTTGTCTTCATCATCATCATCATCACCAGCATGGTTTTCCTGTCACTTTCCCCACAGCGATTCTGCTGCAGCTGATGGAGACCTCCCTATATTCTGCAGTTTGTGAACAGTTTTGACCGAGACTGACTAAGTTCACGGATGCTCTATCCTGCCCGCAGGTGATGTCTGGAGATGATCTTGAGGCTGTGCATTTGGTGCATAATGTGCTCCGTGTGACAGAGTCCTATGTACCAGCTGTGCCTGTCCCAGCGTCCCAGGAATCCCTACTGAATGGCTTGTATTTATATAAAGAAGCTGTAGAAACCCCAGCTTCTCTTGGATGGTCTATTTCCCAGGCAGGACTGAAGTTCAGCCCTTAGCAAATAGTTTACGCTATTTGTTCAGGGCCTAGCTTCCTGACACCCCGGAAGTTCTTTTCTCTAGAGCAGTGGTTCTCAGTCAAGGCAGCAAATGTAATTTTTCACCCCTAGGTAACACTGAACAATGTTCATGGTTACAATTTGTGGGGTGCTCCTGGTATCTCGTGGGTCAAGGTTAGGGATGCCACCAAACACCTTACATTGCCCAGGATAATTCCTGCAGCAAAGAATTATCCAGCCCAAACTGTTGACAGCGACATCATTCTGGTTGAGAGACCGGGGATGAAAAGAAGGTGCCAAATGCCAAACATATAGCAGAGTAGGGGGAACAGGAAGGGATGTACAATGTAGAGCAAAGTGTTTCCTTAGGGTGGGGGGCTGCCTTCCCTGATCACCCCATCCCTTTCCTGTCCCTCCTCACCCCATCCTTCTCCCAGTGGCCCCAGGCAGTGCCTGGAGGGCTTCGGTTAGATGGACCACCGGGAGCTATAACCCTGACCTTTGGTCTTGCTCCCTGTCTACCATCCCATGCCCTGCAGACCTCACCTCCCTGGACACACTTCAGACCGGCTGGGATTCACAGACCCCTGTAGGTACTAAATACTGGAGCTTCACTTCTCACAGGAGAGACTGACAGCTGGGCATCTTGCCGCCTGAACTCAGGCTCAGTGCCAGCTCCCCATCCTTCCCCAGGACGGCTACTGCTGAGTCTGTACCAGTGCCCCACCAGTCCACAGATGATGCTGGGGGGCTGTTACCAAGGTCAGAAGGTCAGCCATGCCTTTCACACCATAGTCAGATCAGAGCTCTCCCTCAGAAAGAATGTAAGGCCGACTTCACACAGCAATTCCACAGTGCACTAGAACAGAATCTCTTCCAACAATTCCTGCTACATAAACTCCTTTTCTACTACCCAAATGAATGAGAAACTTCCCTCTTTCACCTTAAGTAATGAAACACCCAGAGATGTTCTTTAAGTTAAATCAGCCTTCCTCCTGAGACAAGGAACGTCTGTCCCTGGCCCTGCCTTTGAGCAACAGCCCACCCTGGGCAGTGGGTGAAGTGATGGAATGATGGAGGGTTTTCATGTTCATGAGTCAAAGGACGATGGTGCAGGGACTCACCAGCCCCAACAGGGTCTAAGAGCTTTGGCAATCCCCGCAAGTCTGGGCCAGACTCCCTTCAGACAAATGTCTACAGCAATAGACAGCATCTGAGAGATGAAAGTTGTGTTTGAATGCCACATGCATTTCAGGAACCAATAAAGTAGGGATGCTTGAAGATGAGGGGCAGGGAGGGAGAGATGATATTGGCATGGAGAGAATGTGTAGTGAGTTTGAAGCCGGTTATTTATAACGTCTGCAGAGTTTCTCCCCAAAGGGTAGAGGTAAACAAGAGAAAGAGCAGAGCAACTGCTCAATAAAAACACGAGGTGGGGAGAGGACGAGGCAGGCAGCCTGGGGCAGAGCGTCCTGGGTGTGGAGCTGCTCCCTGATGTCTACTGTGGCCTTCTCAGCCTCACCCAGAAAGGATGCTGTTGCTTCTCAGCAAAGGTTAAGGAATTGTCCTGAATGCAATTACGGTAACAAGGAAAAATGGAGAGAGAAATTATGTAACAGCCTTCCAATCTTGAGAAACTGTGTGTCAAAGGAGGGGGAAAGTACTGGACATGTAATCAAGAGGCTTAGATGCAAGTTCTCTCACCATCACTTTTGGCCACCTCATCCTGGCCAATGATGTACCTCTGTAAACTGTGGTTTCTCTACCACAAACCCATAATAACCACTCTGCGCCCACCAGAACCCATTCTGAGAATCAAATGAGATAACTGTGAATACGTCTTGTAAACAGCAAACATTAAACCAGTCTTTCCCATAATGTTCTCTATTGAACATTAATTCCATGGGAGGGGAGTAAGATCCTCAAGTCACAAAACCAAACAAAGAAAAGACAGCCATCAAGTTAAAGGGCTCCAGTTTTAATCGTGAGGTTTGGGAAGGTCTTTCCAGAACTAAACTGCCAGGAATCTTTCACTGCTGAGTGTCTCGCAGGACTGACGTTGCAGAGCGAGCTCTGGGAAACATTTCTCTGTAGAGGTACAAGGCACGTTCCCTCTCTCCTTGGCCGGTCCATCAGTGACAGTGCTATGCAGAGCGGAGGGGTCAGGCTGCCCTGGCAGAGAGAGAAAGGGGCCTGAGAACTTGCTGCTCCTCGAGTGTGTCTAACACATTTCAAAGTTCGAGAACCCCTCGCTTTCTTAGGAAGTACAGACCACACGTTCTGGATGGAATTGTGCCCCCAAAGAAATGTTGAATGTCTAACTGCCAGTACTCTACATGACCCTGTTTCAACACAGAGGGCTGGGCAGAGGTAATTAAGTTAAAATGGGGTCCTTCAGTTCAGTTCGGTCACTCGGGCGAGTCTGACTCTTTGGGACCTCATGCATCACAGCACGCCAGGCCTCCCTGTCCATCACCAACTCCCGGAGTTTACTCAAACTCATGCCCGTCGAGTCGGTGATGCCATCCAGCCATCTCATCGTCTATCGCCCATTGAGTCAGTAATGCCATCCAGCCACCTCATCGTCTGTCGTCCCCTTCTCCTCCTGCCCCCAATCCCTCCCAGCATCAGGGTCTAGGAGGGGCCCTAATCCAAAATAGCCCTAATCTTTATAAAAAGGGGAAATCTAAACACAGAGGCAGGCATCAGGAGACAGGCACTACTTGGTAATGTGCCACGGAAAGATGAAGACGGAGATCAGGGCAATGCAAATACAAGCCCAAGATTGCCGGAAGCCAGGGAAGAGGCACAGGACTGATTCTCCCTCGCTGCCCTCAGGAGCAACCAGCCTTACTGACACCGTGATCTGGGGCTTCTGGCCTCCAGAATCGTGAGACAATGCATTTCTGCTGTTTAAGCCGCCCAGTCTGCTGCACTTTGACACGGCAGCTTTAGGAAACTAACACACCACCCCTCCTCTAAAGAACCTACCAACCCTGCATTGACATTTAGAAGGGCCTGACAAAGAGCTGGAACTCAGAATACAGATGATGTTCAAGCTGGGCTCTGGTTAATGAAATTACAATAAGATCTGCTGAAATTCCTGAGGCTTTTATTTTCCCCCTTGAGCTCAGAGCAAACCATGTTTGGAAAACTAAGAAACTCAAAGATGAGCTGTCTTCTTTGGGAAACACTTGTACTCATTCAGAGGAGGGTAAATGAGATGGTGTGCATTAGCAATAGTTGAGACAGTCAGGTCTCGTCAACAAATGTATCGGGCAGGGCTGTGGCAGAGGTGAGGGCCAGGTGTTTGCTCAGCAGGACTGCTCTGTGGGGTCGAGACGTAAATGTGATTATGGTGGCCAGTGTCTGGCACGGAATGCAAGTCTGAAAAGAAAGAAGAAAACATGGGCCTGAGCAGCTTATCACGGAGTTTTATATAAAACTTCAATTAATTGTAACCAATCAGTCTTCTAAGAATTAAAAGGGTTAGTCAAAGTGCTATTTGACAATACATTTTTAAGAAATTGCTTTTTTCTAAGATACCGATCCTTGCAAATATTTAAACATGTTGATAAATTTCTCTTTGACTTCTGACAGGGTCAAATATTTTCCCTCTAATGGGAATGTTTTCTGTGCCAGTAGTGTAAATGCCGAGTCTTTAAATTGTATTTGCTGGCTTTTACTTTCAGGGAGTGTCATTAGCACTCTGCCACTTCCCCAAATTTTCTGATGTATTATAATGAGAAAACACTTTTTTCATAAACTCTGGCAAGGGAAAACACACTGTGGACAGAATAGCAGCTTCTGTTTTGTCCAGACTTCTAGGAAACTCCAAGCTAAATTAAATTTTCAATATCAACAATTAATTTTTTGCTTCCTCTATTTTTTTTTTGAGTTCATGGTTTTTATTTTCTACTTCAATGTTAAATGCCTCATTTTTTCATTAGCAGCATGATTTTTGTTTTCTACTTCTATTTTAATGCCCTATTTTATCATTAGCTCTCTAAAGTTAGTCTTAAATCTCTTTCCTGAGCCCCAAATATCAAATATCCAGCTTTCTAGGACATATATCTGCCCAGCCTGGATATCTCACAGAAACTCAAGCTCAAGACTACATTCAAAATCATGCTTTTATTTTTCCTTCTAAAACAGAGTACAGTCTGCTTTTCTGTCTTGGTGATCGTCATCCCCAGTTTCAGTTATTCCCTTCTTTTTAGCTACCGACACCATTCCATTGCTATCCTGTTGAATTTGACTGCTTCTCAAATCAGTCTATGTGCTGCATCTGTCTCTATTCCGGTCTCCCTAGGTCACTGTAATGCCTCCTAATAAGTTTCCCTTCAATCAGCTTATTCTTTAAAAAACTGGCCTAGTACTGTCGCTCGCCATTAAGAATCCTTCCGGGCTCGCTCTCCTTGTGATAGTGTGTTTACACTCCTTTAGCACGGCACACAAGGCCACCTCTCCAGCTTAGTATGACCCATGCTCCCCTCCTCAGGCTCGGGACCTCCAGGGGGTCACATGCTCACCTCCACAGCATCAGGGCCCTTAGCGCGGGACTCGGGCTCCCCTCTCCAGCTTCAGGCTGCACACATTCACTCCTCCACAGGCTCCGTTTCACTTCAGTGTAGACTTGTACTTTATGTCCCAGATATTTTTGAATCACCTCCAAGTTCATGATGAGACTCTATCTCAAATATACAAAATCTCTGAGCCTCCTTAGCCAGGGTCAGTAGCACTACCATTAACAATCTCAACAGCTGACTCAACCAGAAACAACAGTGTCTCCCCAAAATCAAGGGTCAGGAGAAAAATAAACTTCAGGCCTTCAGACTTGCTGATTTCTTTTCCTTGAATGGCATTTTCAAACCCAGTTCACCTGGATAATTCTGCATTCTCTGAGACTCAGTGCAAGCACCTCTGCTGCTACAAAGGTTCTGCTATTTCTCGTTTCCCTTTACGAGCTGCAGGTTCTTGCCTGTGTGCCTCCAATGTATTTCACATGCTCCTAGGAGAGCTGTTGCCCCCGTGTGTAATTGCATGTTACCTTACCTCTACTTACCATCACCATGAACACTAAATGTTAAGTTCCTTGCCTTGAAAGCAAGAACGGTTTTACATCACTTCTATCCCCAGAATCTAGAACAGTGACTATCATATAATGTGAATTCAATAGAAAGTTTCCCCAGGAAATGAACAAATGAGAACCTTCCTGCAATTATATGAGATATAATAGTGAAATAAAAAGGTCAGTTCAGTTCAGTCACTCAATCATGTCCCACTTTTTGTGATCCCATGGACTGTAGCACTCCAGGCTTGCCTGTCTATCACCAGCTCCTGAAGCTTGTTCAGACTCATGTCGATCAATAGCCTTTAAAATATAAGGCCATACCTGGAACAACTGGTCACAGTTACTACTGATCTACTTTATTGCAAAGTAGTTTGTGCCCATGAATATGCCTACTACTAACACCACGAGGTTCCCTATGTAAACTGCATGTAATTAACTAAAATAGGTTTTCACTTTCTATATAGCAAAGCCTTAGAGTAAATCACTGGCTATAAAGACAAGGTCTCTATGCCTCAGAGAAGTTTATATCTAAATATAAGATATAACTCTATTTTACAGATAATGAAAATGAGGCATTGAAAGAATAAATAACTTGTACAAGGTCACTTAAGGAATAAGTGTAGGAATAAGATTCAAATGTGGGTGGTCTGCCTCCTGATTCAGACTACTTTCCATTTCTATGGACGGTAAGATATTAAAGGGAAATATTAAAACATAACATCATTTTTAGCTCAAAGCTGTACTGTATGTTTGAGCTATAGGAGGCCAGAGAAGTAGATGGAATACTTCATCGTGGAAGAACTAGTATTTAAGTCGGTCTGAGCAAATCGGTTCCAACACAAGGAAAAAGAAAGGCATTCCCAGAGGGGGGACATAGCATGAACTGAGGCTCCTGCTCAGGTGAATCATGCAAAACATAGCAGTAGTACTAAGTAGAAAGCTATAAATTATTCAGAGACAGTAAGTGCTAAATAGTCTTAATCTATTTTCTCCCAGGTTTTTTCCTTTTAAATGCCAAGTTTTTGTCTTATTTTTTCAAAACTGAGATTATATCATATGCGCAATATTGAATCCTACTTTTCTTTAACTTGTATACTATCATAAGCATTTTCTTACTATAAACTGTTTGTACGCATTATTTTTAATGGCCCCCTGATCATTAAATGGATATATGATAACGTAATTAAACTTTTTCTATTGTTGAACGCTTGAAGTCCTGTACTATTTGTTTTGGATTGGAAATGATGCGACTAAGAACATCTTTGTCCATAAAATTTTTACGTATTTACTCTTACATGCCTGTGATACGATTAAACAAGTGAAACAAATTTTCTTAAATTACACAAGTGGAATTCCTAGGTCTAAAGTACTATTATTTTACTGTTTTTCCCCTCAGATAACTAAACTAAAACTTGCTGGAAATAAGGGCTCAGAGTTAAATGAATGAAAGTTGCTGTCCTCAGGAACTGACTTTCTACAGGAAAAATAAATAAATAAACATAGACAAATAAACAAAATCCAGTTGGGAAAATGTCTTAATTGAAAGAAGTATAAGCAAAATCCATGGGACCAAGTGAAATAAACAACATCTCTGCTGGGAGAACATGGAACAATGTCAAAAGGAAGTGACTTCTGAAATACACTCTTATCAGCTTAATTTGAGCCTGATTTGGGGGAGACAAATGTAATTTCTCATCAAGTTATTTCAGAACCATTAGGAGATTCAAAGCTAGTGCTACCAACCCAGAAGGAGTCTGGCAATTATATATTTTTAAGATGCACTTGCCTGCATTATTAATTACATTTCTTCATAACTATTAACTCATAAAACCAAATTACTAGACGCAAAATTGAGGAAGCTCAGTGCTTTGCTAGCTTCACCCAACTCTGTATCATTTGGGGAAAAGTGAAAGAAACAGGAAAGAAACAAGAAATCGTTTGTGTTTTGGATGATTGTGGCAACAGCACCTTGTCATAAACCACAGAGAAAAGAGGGGGGGAAGCACCAGCTTTCCTAGCTCTCTTTGCTCACCCTCTAGGCCAGAGGTTTCCAGACTCAGTTTATGGCCTCCTTAGTGTCTCAGTAATTGCTTTCATGGCATCCATAAGCCAGAGGAGATAGCTAACTGTTCCATTTATTAAGCAGTTAGATTAAATACATACCTAACTAAAGTTAGGTTAAATACATAATGATATTTAATGTCCTAATAACATAGTAGCCATTTGAAAAATAATGCACATTAATTGAAAGAAAAATTATTTGCACTTTATTCTTAGATAACTGCGATCACTTGCAAAGGAGACCTGTGCAGAATTCTCAAACCTTGGAATCAGATTAAATATCACCACTCTTATCTCTTGATCTGAATCTATTTTAACATAATACTTACCTTTTATCATAACACCTACCATAAACACAACTTCACAAAGATATGACGGCGCCTTGCTGATGGGAATGTAAAATGGGGTGGCCACTGTGGAAAACAACGTGGTGGTTGCTCAAAAAAAGGAAACTTAGAATTATTGCCACGTGATCCAGTGATTCTACTTTGGGGTATCTGCTCGAAAGAATTGAAAGCAGGGATTTGAACAGAAATGTATATACCAATGTTCAAAGCAGCATTATTCACAACAGCCAGAAGGTAAAAATAACCTAAGTATCATTGACAAATGAGTCAAGAAAATGTGGTGTATATACGTGTGTGTGTGTGTGTGTGTGTGTGTGTGTGTGTGTGGAGAGAGACAGAGAGAGAGAGAATATTATTGACCCCAGAAAGAAAAGAAACTCTGATGCACACTGCAACATGGATGAACTTCAAAGACATTGTTGTAAGTGAAATAAACCAGACACAAAAGAACAACTGTTGGATGATTCCACTTATCAGCTGAGCCACAAGGGGAGCCCCATGAGGTACCAACGGTAGACAGATTTGTAGAGACAGATAGTAGAGTGGTGGTTGCCGGGAGCTGAAGTGAGGGGAGAATGGGGAACTGATGTTTAATGGGTACAGAGTTCAATTTGGGATGATGAGGAAGTTCTCAAGATGAACAGTGGGCATATTTGCACAAAAACTTGGACTGCAAGGAGATCCAAGCAGTCCATCCTAAAGGAGATCAGTCCTCGGTGTTCATTGGAAGGACTGATGCTGAAGCTGAAACTCCGATACTTTGGCCACATGATGCAAAGAGTTGACTCTTTGCAACTCTTTCCTGATGCTGGGAAAGATTGAGCGCAGGAGGAGAAGGGGACGACAGAGGATGAGATGGCTGGATGGTATCACCGACTCGATGGACATGGGTTTGGGTGGACCCC